ACTCAATTTTATGCATTAGATCACAAGTTATAATCGGCAAAAATTACGCCAATTAGTATAACGAAAATTACGTGGTCTAATACTTTTGATTGGGGAGTGTAGTTTATTGCCTCTTTAATACTAATTTTCTCTTTATTAATATCTTTTTCATCTTAAAAAAGATCTAGTATATGATGATAGTATTTTCTCTTGAAATAACTCTTAAAATTTGTAATTATTCTAGCATTAAGTGGTTGAAAATGGCTAGGAGGTAAAAAAACAACTTCAATATGAGTTAGTTGCTATTGATAAATATTTGATCTATTACTATGACTACTATAATCTCTTGACTCTTTATCATCACAACCTTCTAATACACTGTTATGACCATCTTTTGATCCTTTGTCATGACCTCTTAATCTTTCACTATAACCTCTTGATCCTCTATTATGATCTCTTGATCCTTTACTACAACCTCTTGATCTTCTTGATCCTTCACTATGACCCCTTGATTCTCTACCATGACCTCTTAATCCTCTACCATGACCTCTTAATCTTCCACTATGACTGCCACTCAAATTACTATCTGCAAATCTAACTTCACTATCACCATCTTCATCTTGATTATTTTGTTTAACTTTTAAATTTGATAAACTATATGAATTAAAATGTAATAGAATATTATCAATTAGAAGCAAAAATTTTTTATTTTGTATTCTAAAATAATTGTCCATTTCACGAAGCATATCTTTAAAATGAAGAATTCATTTATGCTTTCAGATTTTTATAATAGTAAACCAAAAGATGTTTTAAATTAAATTTTGAAAGTGATCTTAGATGCTTAGCATTACTAATTACCTATGGTTTGAGTTTATCTGTTCCTATTGCATTAGAGCCAAGAAGTACAGTGATTCTTGACTTGTTTTTTTTTAACCAGAAATAGGTTTAGTAGAAAGGGTTTAATTAGAAAACATTTGATAGAAAAGATTCTTTGTAATAATAAATTATATATTAGTTTAGAAAATAATAATGTAAATAAAATAATATGTAAATAAAATAAAATAAACTTATAGTTTCATCAATATTATAAATTCTATCAAGAGTATACTAGCCTAAAATTAATTGCAACCTTGCTCGTTCCTTCAGAAATGATGCTAATGATACACTTCCTGACTTTTCATACATATAATATTTACAAATATTATTACATTTTTTAAATTTATATAACTAACTATTAGAAAATATACACTTATTTTCTTGTATATTGAGTTCATTAGCAAAAAATTTTGCCTTTTCTTTTATTAATAAATCTGTTAAAATGATCCCATTTGCCATTATATTTTCTATTCACAAATTCATAGCATGATCAAGTTTCAGAAATTTGACTCCTTTATATCTAAAAATTTTCTTGGAATTTTTTTCTATTATAGAGATCCACTTTCACTTTTTTTTAATATTTTTGATACAGTACTGTATTTAATATTTAAAGTTAAGTCTTTTTTATTGAAATAATTTGCAATTTCTAAATGTATTTTATTTTTATTATTTTGTGACCATTCACAAATTTATTTTTTGAGGTTAATACTTATGGCTAAATAGTGCTATTTAGGTTTATCAGGTCTATCAAGAGGCATTATAAAAAAGACAAAAAAAAAGGTTATTTGAGAATTACTTTGAAAAGGTTCTTAAAAGCTTTTAGTGACAAAACTAAGATAACAAATATCATAGCTATTAATCAACATAGAAAAACTACTACCATAAAACAAATGCGAAAACTGTGTAAAATTTAAAAAATTCAAGAGGATTGCTCTATTTCCCAAGTATTATAAATTATTATTCTATTTTCTAAGCTTTTACTGAAATGTGTTATATTTTTACAAATTTTACATGTTATATTTTTACTTGTTACATATTTTTATGTGTTATAAAAAAAATAATCAATTTAAATTTATTTAATCTAAGCCAATCAAAAATTTTGTGATTATAAAAAGGTTAAATTATTAACAAAAATGATATGTACGTTATAAACATAATGTGATAGTGACTATACTGATTTGTGATTATATAGAAGTATTTTAATAATATTAAAATCTATTTTATAAAAATAAGTATTTATAAGAAGGTGTGACTAAATAGGAGATAATTGTATAGAGGTCTGACTGTATAATGAAATAATATTAAAGAGTAAATAATTAAATTTAAATTTTCAAAATTTAAATATTTATTAAATTGTAGTAGATTTAAATTTAAAATAAAAAAATTTTTTTTTATTAAAAGTTATTTTATATAAATAATATTTTATATAAGCATATTTAATATAAAATATAATAATTATTATAATTAAAATATTATTTATTATAAATTTATTTAATAAATATTAAAGTAAAATATAAATTAATAAAAAAATTATCTTTTTTATTATTTTACTAAACCTTTATTTTAACTTCTTTATATATTTTTTATTTAATATATAAGGAATTAGCATCCTTAGTTCAGTTGATAATAACTAAGCTTTTATTGTAAATTATACTGCGATAGCTATAAATTTAGGTTTCAGCTGAGACATAAAACTAAATGATTTTCATAAGAATTTTATATGTAACTGAACATGTAGGTATATAAACTAATATGTGTTAGAAACTGGTAGATTGATTTATTAATCTTCATTGATCATGCTTAAATACTGGATTTGAAGAATAGGTAATATAAATAAAGCTAAAAATTAACAAAAACTTGACTTTCGCTAATAGGTTTATAGTGAATACTATTTTACGCCTTCAAACTCAGGAGCTTTTATACAAATAAGAAAATGGTTAACCAGTAATTAGTAGATCTGAAGTGTATTACAGATTAACTTACATACTACAGCTGTAGGTTAAATTTTGTTATCACTAGAGTTAGAGACCAGATTTGATTCTTAGATGAGTTTAACGTTATGTATATAAAGTCACTATCATAAAAGAACCTATTTCCTCGATCTTAATAGTTATCAATAGTAGTGTTCTGCAAAATCAGATCAAATCAGATTTGGATAAAATCTGATCCAATCCAATTTTCATTTTTCAGGATCTGAATCTGATCTGAATCTAACAGATCGAATCTCAAATTTGGATCTGACGAATCAGTTTAATCCAAATCTAATCTGATTCAGATTCAAAATTTTTATTGAAAAATAATTTTTCAGTTCTAAAAGAGTTCCGAAAAGTCATTCCTTTTCAATGAAAGAAACCTTTTTAGCTCTAAAAGAGTTTTAAAAAGTTGTTTCTTTACAATAAAAGGAACCTTTTTGGCTCTAAAAGAGTTCTGAAAAGTCATTCCTTTTAATGAAAGGAACCTTTTCAATTCTAAAAGAGTTCTAAAAAGTCGTTTCTTTTTAATGAAAGGAAACAAATTTTCAGTTCTAAGAGATCTGAAAATTTTTTCTTTCAATGAAAGGAACCTTTTTGGCTCTAAAAGAGTTCTGTAAAGTCGTTCTTTTATAATGAAAGGAATCTTTTCAACTCTAAAAAAATTCTAAAAAGTCATTTCTTTACAATGGAAGAAACCTTTTTGGCTCTAAAAGAGTTTTGAAAAGTCGTTCCTTTTAATGAAAGGAACCTTTTCAGCTCTAAAAGAGTTCTGAAAAGTTGTTCCTTTATAATGAAAGAAACCTTTTTAGCTCTAAAAGAGTTTCAAAAAGTCATTCCTTTTTAATGAAAGGAAATGAATTTTCGGTTCTAAGAGATCTGAAAATTTTTTCTTTCAATGAAAGGAACCTTTTTGGCTCTAAAAGAGTTCCAAAAAGTTATTCCTTTATAATAAAAGAAATCTTTTCAGCTCTAAAAGAGTTCTGAAAAGTCGTTTCTTTACAATAAAAGAAACCTTTTCAGCTCTAAAAGAGTTCTGAAAAGTTATTCCTTTTTAATGAAAGGAACCTTTTCAGCTCTAAAAAAGTTCTGAAAAGTCATTTCTTACAATGAAAGGAACCTTTTCAGCTCTAAAAGAGTTCTGAAAAGTCATTCCTTTACAATGAAAGGAATCTTTTCAGCTCTAAAAGAGTTCTGAAAAGTTGTTCCTTTATAATGAAAGAAACCTTTTTGGCTCTAAAAGAGTTTCAAAAAGTCATTCCTTTTTAATGAAAGAAAACGAATTTTCGGTTCTAAGAGATCTGAAAATTTTTTCTTTCAATGAAAGGAACCTTTTCGGCTCTAAAAAAGTTCTGAAAAATCATTCCTTTACAATGAAAGGAACCTTTTCAACTCTAAAAGAGTTTCAAAAAGTCATTTTTTTACAATGAAAGAAACCTTTTCAGCTCTAAAAAAACTCTGAATTCTTATTTTTTTAGTTCTAAGGTTTAATCTAATTTAATAAAATTTTATGCAATATATAATAATTAAATTTTATTTCATAAATTTTATTATTATAA